GTTTCTGCCGTTCCGGTTTGGAGGTGTGACACATAGACCGGGTTTCTTGTATGAATTATGAATTTTAGTTCGAGGCGTTTTTTGTCCAAAATGACCAGATAAGATTATGGGGCTTTTCAATACCTTTCTGTGTATATAAAGAATGCCAAAATCGAAGTTAAATCGAAGAAGTTGTGGTGGTTTGAAATTTTTGTTTAATTTGGAAGATTGGTAGTACGATGAGCATACTCTAGGTTTGCTGGGCATACTAACATCTTGAAGTCGTGCCTCTAGAAGAGTACGTTGAGTGTACCATTTGGTACGTTAGGCGTACACGATTAGAACCCAAACCCCAAATCTAGGGTTTTGAGCCCTATTTAAGCACCTTAACTCCTCTAAACCTCTTCTATTCTCAACCTCCATCTTTCCAACGTCCTCCCTTGAAACTCTAACCCTAGTTTGAGCTTTGTGAGCCAAAGAGTGTGTTTTTGGGTGCCTTTGAAGGAAGAAGAAGGTGGTGATAGTGCTTGGAAGCTTGGAACAACTTTGGATCTGGAAGTTCTCCTCCCGCATTCATCTTTAGAAGGTATAAAGTTTGTACCTTTATGCCTCCATTGATAGATCTAGCTTAGGGGTTAAAGTTATGTCCTTTTTGTCCAAAAAATTGGTCCCTTTGATTGTGGGTTGTCCCAGATCTTGTGAGGTGCATTTCCAGATGTATTTGAGGGTGTTAAGTCATAAAAAGCAATCTTGATCTTTTCCTTCCAGTCATGCATGGTTATAAAGCTTAGAATCTCATGATAAGTTAGGGTGTTGGATTTTGACTCTTTCTAGCCATGCAAAATTATAAAGTTGGAAACTTTATGATTTAGAATGTCTTTTGGGGATTAGATCTGAGTGTTGGAAGAAAGGCCTTAAGGGATTAAGCACAAGAAGAGCTTTTGGCTCGGATGTTCTGCCCCCGCAGAGCCCGGTCCCTAGCCAAACCCTCATATAAGTAAGTTATGCTTACCCTACTTCAAGTATAGCTTATGTTTAAGTTCAATATCGTTATTATGAACTTATAAAAAAATAAATATATTATAAAATATAATATACAAAGTGTTATGATAATATCTTAACTACTCGAGGTACGGGGAATCTGGTTTGAAGGGCCGCATAGGGTTGTTGGATTTCAGAAGTGCTATAATGCCAAAATGGTCATGCCCTTTGGTGTTTCCTGTCTGGACCCTGTCTGTACATAGTGGTTGAAAATTATTGTTTAACACTTATAAAACAATATTGCTCGTAAATACAAAAATAAAAATTAGACTAAAATCTAGTTGTAATGATACTAGGTTTCATCGAAGGAAAATAGAATTGTTAGAAGCGAAGCACTGCCCAAGTTTGGAATCATCACTTTAACAAGTGAGTGCATAGTTACTTTCATTTTACACATAGATATGAAGTATTTAATATAAATTACGTGCTATGTGTGCATATTCTTTGTATTCTTGATATCTATGTTGGATGAACAAAATATACATGTTTTATTTAATTTAAATTTTATACGTATTTTATACCTATAATTATGATGGGTAAATATGGGTAGATTAAAGATAAGATGAGATGAGAGATGAAAGATGATATAGATGATGAGATGTGAGAGATGATGAGAAGCGATGGCCGAGTCATCTAACAGAGTATAGATGACAACCACAAACTATTCTAGACAGTCTAATGGAACAGTAGCAGGCTCGCAACCTGTATATGTTGTGAACGATATGTTCATCAGATGTACTCTAAAAACCCATTGACATATATTTTGGGTGGACTCCCTAAAATAATATTGTCAACAAAAGAGATAAACCCTGGCAGCTATGGACTTAGTGCCTAACAAATAACCACGACAACTATGGATTTAGTGTGTGTTATATAAACCATGGCAGCGATGGACTTCGTGCCTATTCCTTAGGACAATCCTTAGGAATAAATATCGAGGAATAGATGATTCTTAGGGAAGATACTTAAGAATAAATAAGATAATGGGGATGGGTAATTGGGTTAATTGTTTGATGATGAAACATAATAACTTTATTATTGTGGGTTGAAAACCCTATGTTCTCACCAGGTTTCCCAACCTGACCCACTCAGTTTAACTGTATCACAGGTGTCGATACGAAGCTACATTACAATGAGAGATTAAAGGAAATGTAAATCACTAGTGTAAATGAATGTAGGTCTGTTTATGCTTATGTTTCTGTATTGACAGTGACATCCCAAAGTTTTAATATGAACAAAATACATTTCTTCATAAATTCTTTGATAAAATATTTATCATGTTTTCTGGGAACAAAATTTGCAATATTATTCTTTAAAAATGAATACTTTGATTTTCAAATAAGCGTAAATAAAATTTTTAAAATG